AAAAAAAAAAAAGAAAGAAAGAAAGAAAGAAAGAAAAGAAAAAGAAATATGATGTAATTGTTGTGTGTGCAGTTCAGCAACTATTTATTAAATGCCTACTATGAGCAAGGCACTGTGTGGCAATAGGTGAAGGGAAATTAGAGATCAACTCCAATAAGGCCTTGACCTTGAAGAGCTTAAAATCTAGATGCTTAATTTGTTTATTGATTGATTCATTCACTCACACGTCATTTAAAATAATCAACAAATAGGACTTTCTTCTTTTCTCCAATTCCAAGCATTCGTTTTTTAAGGTATAAAACATAACACTTCTTCCTGACTTCAAAAATATTTATACAAAAAATTTGTGAAATGTGGAAAACCAGAAAAATTGTTATGGCGAACGAGTAAGTCTTAATCACATACTAGACGGTGGTGGGCACTGATAAAAACTTTTAAATAAGCCTTTGTGGAAATTGTGGAGGTGGGGCTGAAGCTGTTACTTTATGACTTAATCGTTCTCAGCTGCCAAATTCACCTCTCAAAAAAAATCTATCCTGTAAGTTATGACTCTCTGCCAAGTAACTGTAATATGGTAGAGCCACTTAACTAGCAATAAGAAATCGGCTTTCAACTGAAGACAAGTTCTTCACATTTCCTTGAGTTAAACATGAATACTCCTATTCATGTTGGTCTAAAAAATACAATTCTGTAGAGTCTAAATTTGATAGATACTTACTGATTTTAATTTTCATTCATTCCTTCAGCAAATATTGAATGGATACACTGGCCTGGCATGGCTCTGCATGCTGGGATGATAGCAGAGGACAAAACAGGCAAAAATTCCCTGCCCTCATGGAGCTTACATTCTGCTGGGGCATTCAGACAATAGACAAGGTATCTAAATAGGATATATTGTAAGTTAAACAGCAGTACTTGTAAGACTCAAAAATATAAAGCAGGGAAAGAAGGTAAGACATGATAAGAGAGTGGGATTTTCAACTGAGTAGCCAAGGAAGGCTTTATTGAGGTAACTTTAGAGAAAAGACTTGAAGGAAATGAGGAAAAAAAGGATTCATGTGCATTCTGTGGGAAGAGCATTCCAAACAGAGAGAACAGCCAGTGCAAAGACCGTGAAGGGGGAACATGCCTTGTGAGTTAAAGAAAACAGCATGACTGCCAGCATGACTGGAACAGGATGAACAAGAAGCAGAGCAGGGGGAGACAAGGCCCAGTGAGAACAGAACCCATATCATGAAGAGCCTTGTAAAGCACAGTGAGGATTTTGGCTCTTAGTCAGAAGAACATGGGAAATCACTGGAGGGTTCTGAAGAGTAAACAGAACAGTTGTTCTCACTTTGGCTGCTATGTTGGGGATACAGTTTACTCTATCCTGTACTGAGAAAAGTGTATTAAGGTGTCCCATTGAGATTATGACTTTGCTTCTCCTTGTCATTTTGCCACATTTTGCTTTATATATTTTGGGACTATTTTATTTAGTACATATGTTTTTTTTTTTAATGTTTATGTATTCCTGGTGAATTTAACCTTTTACTATTCTTGAAATAAGTCCATTTGTCTTCAGTAATGATTTTTGCCTAATAAATATATCACCACTGGCTTTTTTGTTGTTGTTAATGTTTGCATGTTAGATCTTTTTCTGTCTTAATTTTACTTACTTTTAATTTTTAAATTTACTTTCAATGTTACTGTATTTTTAAAAACTTTTATTTACTTTCTAAATTTTTTTAATGTTTTTATTTATTTTTGAGACAGAGAAAGACAGAGCATGAGCAGGGGAGGGTTAGAGAGAGAGGGAGATACAGAATCTGAAGCAGGCTCCAGGCTCTGAGCTGTCAGCACAGAGCCCAACGTGGGGCTCGAACTTACAGACTGTGAGATCACCACCTGAGCTGAAGTCAGACGCTTAACTGACTGAGCCACCCAGGTGCCCCTAAAAAACTTTTATTTACTTTCAATCTCACTGTATGCTTATGCTTTAGCTGTGTCACTTGTAAACAGTGCATAATTGGGTTTTGTATTTTTTTTTAATTCGGTATTGTAACCTTTGCCTTTTAAGTAAATCAATTATTGTTTTACTTTTATTGTAATTACTAATATATATGAGTTTAAATATTACATTTTAATTTATGCTTTCTACTTTCTTACTTGTTTCTTTTTCTCTTTTCTTACCTTGTTTTGGGTTGCTCTTTTAAAAAAAGTATTTCACTTTCTCCATCTATAGTGTAGAAATTTCATCTACTGTTTCAGATCTTTTGTGGTTACCTTAGAAGCTACAACATGTATGGGCGCCGGGGTGGCTCAGTCGGTTAAGCGTCTGACTTTGGCTCAGGTCATGATCTCACGGTTCGTGAGTTTGAGCCCCGCATCAGGCTCTGTGCTGACAGCTCACAGCCTGAAGCCTGCTTCAGATTCTGTGTCTCCTTCTCTCTCTGTCTCCCCCCACCCCGACTTGTGCTTTGTCTCTATCAAAAATAAATAAATGTAAAAAAAAAAAAAAAAAGAAGTTACAACATGTAAACCTAATTTATAAACACCACAAGGTTACTTAAAACCTTACTTTCTGCCTGGGAAAGTAAACAATGAAATTGAAACACTTTATTCCATTTACTCCTTCCCCTCCAGTTTACATTATTGTTGTCTAGGATTTTAATTCAATGTTATTTCTAAACCTAACTTCACATTATTTTTGCTGTTAGGCAGTGTTCATTTACATTTCTCTACACATTTACTGCTATTCATTCTTATAACACAATACTTCCATCTGGGATCATTTTCCTCCCACTTGAAGTACATTCTTTAGAATTTTCTCTAGTGATGGTCTGCTGCTTACAGTCAGTTTTGGAGTGTCTAAAAATGCTTTTCTTCAACCCTGTACTGAAAAGTACTTTCACTGGGTGTAGAATTCCGGGTGGTAGTTACCTCATTTCACTACATCAGGGGTTAGCATACTTTTTCTATAAAGGAACACAAAGTAAATATCTTAGGCTTTGCAGGCCATGTGATCTCTCACAATGACTTCATTCTACCATTGTAGTGTGAAAGCAGCCATAGATAATACATAAATGAATGGGTGTCACTGTGTTCCAATAAAACTTGATTTATAAAAACAAGCAGCAGGCTGGTTTGGGCTTACAGGGCAATAGTTTGCTGACCCTTGCTATATATGGAAGATAGCATTTCACTATTCCTTACTTACATTATTGCCACAGAGAAGTCAGCTGTTAGTCTAATTGAAATTCCTTTGAAATAATCTGTTTCTCTCTCTGATTGCTTTTAAGATTTTCTCTGCCTTTGGTTTTCATGAATTTCACTTTGTTAAGTCTAAGTGTGGATATCTTTTTATGTATTCTGCTTGAGATTCACTGGTCCTCTTGAATCTGTAAATTCATGTCTTTAATCAGTTCTAGAAAATCTCTTTTCTTTAAATATCTCTTTAAATATTGTCTCTGCCTCTCTCTCCTCTCTGGGATTCCAATTAAGCATATGTTAGTTTTTTTCACTGTATCATTCATGTCTCTTACTCTCCCTTCTGTATATCCTATCCTTTTGCATCTCTAAGCTACCTTCTGGATAACTTCTGCTCTGTCTTCCAGTTCATTAATTCTCTGTTTGGCTATGTCCAATCTTTTGTGAGACATAGCCATTTAATTTTTACTTTGTTAGTGTATTTTTCTCTTTTAGAATTTTTATTTCAGTCTTTCTCTCTTCTGTTATGTCTTTTTTTTTAATTTTTTTTTTTACATTTTATTTATTTTTGAGAGACAGACAGAGCACAAGTGGGGGAGAGGCAGAGAGAGAGGGAGACACAGAATCCGAAGCAGGCTCCAGGCTCTGAGCTGTCAGCCCAGAGCCCGACATGGGGCTCGAACTCACAAACTGTGAGATCATGACCTGAGCTGAAGTCAGACGCTTAACTGACTGAGCCACCAAGGCGCCCCTGTTATGTTATGTCTTTTATTGCTTCCTGTTCTCCATAGATATTTTAGGTTTGTCATTTATTTGTTAAAACTGTATTTATGAAAACATAGTTAGCATAATTGTTTTAACTTCAGATATTTACCAGAAAGTGAAATCTTTCCATATTTAAATTTAGGTTTCTTTTAGGTAGAAAATCATTGATCTTTTTTTGTAATCCATCTAAGGCCATTGCCTAAAAATATAAACTGCTGCTAATCATGACTATTGAGGGTCATTCCACTAATTAGGAGCCGTTCTAACAGTATAATTGAGGTAGACATTTGGTTTTATCCTGCATTTACTCCACTTCTCTCCTTCTCTTACAGAACCATCCACGACCCCAATCTCAATCCATGTTTGGTTGGAGTGACTCTACCCAGGGTTCAAGGGTAGGCATGTGACAGGCCTGATCAATGACAGCTTAGAATTCTCCTGGACATAGTAATTGCCACAGGGGTAGAGAGGTGACCCAAGTAAGTACAATGAGTCTAAATTCCAGGACATTTTTTCCCAGCTGATGCCTTTCCACTAGGGTCACCATGAAGGTAGAAATATAAACTGGAGTTGCAGGAGGCCCCCTTGACATCTCAGGAAAGAGTCTGCACGGAAAAGGTGACAGCAGAGAGGAAACAGAGCCAAGATATGGCCACAAAACAAGGCCAGCAGCATCATGGGAGCCTCTGAATTCATGGGCTTGCCCTTTTAGTTACATGTACAAAAACAAACAAATGAACAGTAACAACAACAACAAAAAAACCTTTTGGTATTTAGGCCTTTTAAGTTGGGTATTTTTTCATTTGTAACCTAAGGGGTCACGACTAGTAGAGTATCACTATGCAGCACTATGCTTGCCAGTCTTGGAGTGCAATGATAATAATAATAACAGTATTTGAAAATTATACATCAAGAAATGCCATCTAGCATACCTTCTCTGTTTGAATCAGCAACATTTGGTAACTTGGAGAAAACATCATATGTTCCACAGGCTCTTCAACCTGAAGAAAATCCTCTATTTTGTAATGTAAATCTTTAATAATAAAAGAATACACAAAGCCATCCTAGACACCAAAAAACAATGAGATAAACACAGAAAATCAGCCTCAGTCAATGCATGTATACTTTTCATGTCAAATGAGCTAAAACATATTGGCTACCATCCACAGTTTATTTTGGAATCATCATCAACGTTTACATTATCTAGAATGCCCTCTTTATTTAGGCAACTTTTAACCATCTTTCCTGGCCTAGTGTCAATTTTATTTCTTTTGTGACACAAAGTTTTGTGACCTAAAATTTTACTGATCTCCCCTTTCTTTGAACTCCTCTAGCATCTATCTTTTTTACCAAATTCTTCATTATACAGGAGGTGGGGCAAATGAAGCAGTTTATCATATGGCTTATTATTAGCAGTCTCCTTACTTCAAGGAACACTAGCCTTAATGTAATTATTTAATCACTATTATGCATATTTCTTTTCTCCCCTAAATGATTCAAAGGTAGGGCATGTGGTGTTTATTTCCTTTATATCCTTCTTTCGAGTTCCTCTCACAGTGCTAGTACCCAGTAAAAATGGGTTCTTGGTTGGTTGTAAACAGACTTAGGTTAATTTAACTATTCTCAAGACGAATTTGAGTTATTTTTACAGTAGTGAAGAGGCTTTGGACAAATTCACTCATCATTTCTAGATTAGATCCCACTATAACTAAAATAAATGGATTGGTGAGATGGCTGGATTCAGATACTTGAGACCTGGGGGATAAAACACGCAAGGTGTTTTCTCCAAACTCATCACCATTCTCCATAATTCATGGAGCAGATGCTCCCACCACTCTTTTAAACTAGTGGGTTTTTTTTTAAATTTTATTTTAAAAATAATCTCTCTACCCAATGTGGGGCTTGAACTCACAACCCTGACATCAAGAGTCACAGGCTCTACTAACTGAGCCAGCCAGGTACCCCTAAACTAGGTTTTTAAAAATGCCAAGGATGGGCTTGAGAAGGACAGAGTCAGAAAAGGCTATAAATGCAGACTAAATGTAGGAGGTGAGGGAGTGGGAATAGTCTGTTGCAAGGTTGGTGGGGTGATTATCAACTGAGTGTAGGTGTATGAGCTCCAAACTGCTTCTCATTGATGGAGCTACATCTTTCACCCTGACATCCTTGCCTAACTACCCTCAGGGTCCTGGAAATGTGATCTCTGGCAATGGAAGAGACAAAACTAACAGCGGTCTTGGGACATCAACCAGTAGAGCTGAGACTTTAGTGTAGGTTGGCTCCAAACCTTAGCACTAATTACAATACCACAGAAAAGCAATGTGGTCTGAGCCTTTTTCATACTTAACTGAGACTGTGTGCTCTAATAAATGATAGCAAAAACTCTGGAGTTTGACACACCTGGGTTCAAGCCTCAACTACCACATTTACTGGCTGGTGAACTCTGTAAGGCTTGGCTCCTTCCTCTGTATAAGGAGGATGTCAATAGTTCCTACTTGATAGGGTCATTACAAAAACCAGTAAGATAATACAAGGAAAGCACTTAGCATGATGCCTGGCACCAAATAAGCACCAAGTAAATGTAGGTCATTAATGCTAACTCTAATATGAACAATAACAATCTGATACATGTAAGCTAACTGGGTATGCACAAGAAGGTAAGCTGAAGCTTAGACAAAAGGTTCCACGTGTATCTGACAACCTAAGATGTTAAGCGCACAAACAGGCATGAAGTTGGGTGACAGATATTAATTAGGTGTTCTGGGGGACTTGGAGTTTTTAACTCTATTTTTGATTATTTGCAATAGTCTAGATACATGGCAGTTCATTATACTGTTCTACTTTTATATATATTTAAAACATTCTTCATATAAAAAGTTTTATAATAGCAAGCATCCAAAAAGGGAATAATTTTAATTAATAATCAGACAGAACCTGTTGTCCCAAATTATGCCTCATAATAGTAAGTGGCAACAAATGGAAGCTATATATACTCTTCAAAGCAATTAATTTTGAAGAAAAAATACATTACAATTCCAGAAATCAGCACGCCTCCCTTCTGATACGCCATGGTGACTGGATTAATCAGATGACATCCCTCTTTTGGCAAAGAAAAACAAGGTAAAACAGGTGATACATATTTAAAAGTGCAGTACAAAGCAATTAATTTCATTTTCTTTCCTAGTACTAGTCCTTTCTTTGTAATCCATACCAAAAGTCAGCTTTCTATCAGAATATGTGCTATAATGCCTCCCAAGCAATGAATCATAAAAGATGCTCAGCATTGATTACTAATGTAAATCACAGGAATTTTTTTAAAGTTCTGTATCATCAGGTCTGTGTAACTAACACTGCAGAATTATATAGCAAATGCACTTTCTTATTTTAGGGAAGCGTTGTCAGAGATTTTAAGATGCCAGGAAAAAACAAATAAAATGAAACCTAAGTTATTATCAAGCTGCATACTTAAGGTTTGTACATTTTATGGTATGTAAATTCATATCTCAGTAAATAAACAAAAAAGGATAAAAAGAAAGTAAAAAAGAAAAATGTTCTATAGGAACAAATGTTATTAATAACATATTGCCCTCGGGGGGGG